AGCCTGCCGGGTTCAAGGCGCCAATTTCCACATATGTGCCCATTACCAAGGTCGAGGGCTTCTCCAACCTGGGCTGGCCATCCGTTCCCTCACTGGAGCCGGACTTGGCTTCGCTGTGTGGCGTCGAGGCCAAGAACCACCTCGTTGGACCGCGAGCAGTTCCCTCTTCTAAGCATGACCAGCTGCTGAGGCAGCTCGCCGATCGCGCACACCAGTGCGCCTTCCAGACCGGCGCTGCAGGAAATAACATCGCCTTCTCGCCTTTGGCGTTCCCAAAATGGTGGAGGAGGTTGAAGCTCCTGTCGAGTCAGAAACCATCATTACTAAAACTGCTGATGCCATCCTCAATCTGTGCGTGGCTGTACTCACCGGTTCTGCTCGCATTGCTGCCTGGCAGACCCTTATCCAGCGGGCCTTGTGGCTCAAGGCCCTGCCCTCCATTCCTGAACACCTGCACAGGGAGATGCTGGAAGGCCCCATCACCTCTGACGTTCTGTTTGGTCCCCATCTTACGAGCGTCATCGAGAGGGCTCAGACGGCGGATGAACTTTCAGCCACGGTGCGAGACCTGGTCCACTCTCGGTCAGCCTCGCACTCCAGCCGTTCCCCCAGAGGATGGGACGAACGGCGAGGAAACTCCAGGCGCCCAGCTGCATGGCCAGCCCCGCAGAGCCGGCCTCCCACTGAGGCGGGACCAGGGAGTTGGCGGCCAATGGTTCCGAATGAGCCAGCAGACACAGCCTTGGCAGTCTCAGTCACAGGAATCTCGCCGAAAACAACCACGAAAACGACTCGTTGGGGGAATGTGTGTGCTTATGACTAATGTTAACTCTGTGAATGATTTTGGTTTTGAAATAAAACCCAAAAAACGTCACATCGAGAGCACAGTCCTACAGTCCTCTGCAGAACCCTCTGCCGAATCCTCACACATGATGTTCCCCGCACCAAGCACTGCAGCACATCTGCATGTTCACACAGTCTGACTCGGTCATGTTACACGGCTTGCTGTAAGGGTGCGCTCCATTTGCGCAACGGCCCCAGCCTACGGCCAGGCCCGACTCATCCCGCTTCCCCCACAGCGTTGGGTGGGACGGGATGTCATGGTGCTGTCGCGACCACGCGCAAAGCGCGCACGTTGCGCGGCTCCATCCGCTGGCACTTTGTCGTTCCCATGCACAGGCCCGGCTCCCACTCGTCCTTCATCCTTGGACTCCACGCTCTGCGGTGCGGATCAGCCTCTTCCAGCTGTTTCACACTCGCCCTTTCGAGCACAGCCCTCCATGGGTCGCTCCCAGTTCTCTGGTACAAGCGACGGCGGTAAGGGCGCGAACCCAATCCTCATGTGACTTCGAGCACACGTCCGCTGTCGAAACGCACGCACGAATGCCTCCCTTTCGGCTACTCGCTAGCCCAGCGCACTTTCTCCAAATGTCTGGAGACTGCGCTGCAGCCACTGCGCACGGCGGGAACGAGGGTTTTATTTTACCGGGACGATCTGCTCCGATGCGCCTGGTCCGAGGACGAGGCGTCAGAGCAAACCAGGAAATTAACAGAGCATCTGTCAACCCTGAGGTTTTCTATAAACTGGGGGAAGAACTCCATCCTTCCATCCCAGTCGATTGTGTTTCTCGGGGTGGAGCTGAACGCCTCCCTAATGAGAGCACGTTTGTCGCCCGTGAGAGCGGCAGATCTCACCACGGTGATCTCCCGCGTGCAACCCCGCAAGATCGTGAGAGCCCTGTTAGTCATGAGACTTCTGGGCATGATGGCTGCAGCCCACTCGGCGGTGCTACTAGGGTTGTTGCGCTCGAGGCGCCTGCAACGCTCATCTGCCTCCGGGTACACCCGATACGTCAGAAGAGACGTATGTTGAGGGTTCCCCCCTCAGTGGGCGGGGGCCTCGCTCACTGGGGGAACCCCTGCATCCTCTCACACGGGGTCCCCATCGGAAGTCCTACGTTACACGTATCTGTGTTTACGGATGCATCACTGTCTGGGGTGGGGGGCACGTGCTTGTCCCATACGGCGGCAGATCGCTGGCCCTCCCACACGCACGAGCACATAAATGTGTTGGAGCTTATGACAGTGAGGAATGCGCTCAGACACTTTGCTGCCCTTCTCGATGGCCGTCATGTCGAAGTTCACACAGACAGCCAGGTGGCGACAGCCTACATAAATCGCCAAAGGGGAGTTCGATCCCTCCCACTATTGCGCGTAGCCACAGGTTTACTGTGTTGGGCACATGTCCACCTGCAGTGCCACCTACATTCTGGGGATCCTGAATGTAGCGGCAGACATCCTGTCGAGAGGGGTCCCCGCGACTCCGACTGGCGTCTGCATTCCGCACATCTGGATAAAGTTCGGGGAACTGTCTGTGGAGCTGTTCACGGCTCGCGAAAACGCTCAGTGTCGCCTGTGGTTTTCCCTGAGTCCCCGGGACCAACCCCCGTTTGGGGCGGACGCCTTCTCACACCAGCCCTGGCCTCGAACGCTCCTGTATGTGTTTCCACCAGTCCCTCTGATTCCCCGTCTCCTGGACCGAGTTTGGTCAGAACAGCTCTCGGTAATTCTGGTGGCTCCCAGACGCCTGTCCGCGTCATGGTTTCCGGACCTGCAAGCGCTACTGTCCGGCTCCCCGTGGAGACTCCCGCGAAGGGAGGACGCCCCTCCCCAGGCGGATGGGATAATCAAACATCCTCCAGAAATAGGCCAATGGCTGTAAGTCTGGCCACTGAGCGGTCACGCTTAGGGGTTTGTTTCTGGGCTGCCGAATGATGTGGTCACCACGATTCAGAGTGCGCGGGTGCACCATCACATCTTATGCTGCTAAATGGGCAGCTTTCCAGAAATGGTGCACAGAGCGGAATTTTCAAGCGCTCTCCTGCCAGCTGGCGGATATCATATCGTTTCTACAGATACTGATGGACAGGGGCCTCGCATTCAGCACTATTAAAACATGCAGCTATCTCATCCTGTCACCAGGATTTTGGTGATGGGTCTGTTTTCAGTCATCCCCTCACAAAACGTTTTCTAAAAGGTGTCAGAAGGAACAGGCCTTCTTCCCGCCCACTAGTTCCCCAGTGGGATCTAACGGTGGTTCTGCGTGGCTTATTTGAAGCCCCATTTGAACCCTTGGACCAGGTCTCACTCAAGTTCCTGTCACAACTGCCTTGCTGCTGGCACTGGCATCAGTCAAGAGAGCGAGCGACCTAACTCGCCCTCTCAGTGGCTCCCGCATGCCTCAGGATCCGGTAAGATGGAGGGTCTGCTGTTTTATGCCCCAGCCTTTGTGCCCAAAAACATTAATACTTCCTTCAAATCCAGGTCAGTTTTCATTGGCTGAACTTTTTCCTCCTCCCCATAATTCTGATGAGGAGGCGACTTCCCATCTTCTCTGCCCGGTGCGCTCGCTCGCACGATATGTGTCACGCACTTCAGGGATTCGCCGCTCACAAAGCATGTTTGTGCACTACAGGGAGTCTTCCCTTGGGCACGCGCTGTTGGCCCAGCGCCTTTGACTCTGGCTATGTGACGCCATTTCACGCTTACACATCAGCAGGGCGGGATCCCCCTGAGACACTCAGGGCTCACTCAGCCAGAGGGATTTCCTCTTCTATGGTGCCCCACAGTGGTGTGTCAATGGAAGTCATTTGTCAGGCTGCTTCATGGGCTTCACCCTGTTCCTTTACTCGTTATTATTTATGAGATGTGTCTTCAGGATCCATCACTCGTTCAGTGCTTGGACCTCAGCAGGCTGAGTGAATGCATTATGGCACCACATCAGCCTTACTTGAATGAATTTCATCCTCTTGTGGATGATATTTTTTAGTGGGAGCCTCACTCTTATCTCTGGCTGCGTCAGCCTTTTAAGCCCTGGGCTGAGGCTGAGCGATCCTCACTAAAAGGAGACTTGTTGGGTGTGTCCATTGGTTGAGCTAACCAGTGTGGCGTAAACCCATCCAGCTGCGCATTATTCCAATAGCAGCTCGCTTAAGGGCTAAGACTAGACGAAATAGAACATTGGTTACGTATTGTAACCCCAGATTCTATGAGTCTAGTCGCAGCCCTTAAGCCACTGGCCCCACTGGTTCTGTTAGGACTAAGAGCCATCGGAGGCAAACAGTGGGGTCGTTCCACTTATATAACCCACAAGGGGTGCCCACGTGGTGGGCGTACATTTAAGCTCTTCATGATTGGCTGATGCTGAGATCACCCTTCCAATAGCAGCTCGCTTAAGGGCTAAGACTAGACTCATAGAATCTGGGGTTACAATACGTAACCAACGTTTTTCATCTGATGATATTAGAACATGTCAGTGATGTCTGAGGAGCTTTTACAAACACTGTATAATTAATACTCCTGGAGAGGGTATGAATTACAGAGGCTTCTGGGGAGCCCAGTTATTGGGGGGGGGGTCATTTTGTCTTGGCCCCCAAAATGTCTTGAAACAGCCCTGGGTGTGTGACTGAGTTTTGAAGGTGATCTGAGCTGTATCAGATGTATAAATATGACATGTGTATAACTTAATGCTTTATACAGGTAAAAACGTGTAGTGGAGATAAATCTACCTACATTTTACTTTTTGTTTTGTTTTCTTGTTTTTATTGAACTATTTTCCTGTCCTGTCTGTCTCTCATCTTCCTGCATCTCCTCTAAACTCTCCAGAAAAACTGCTGCCTGGATTCTTACTTTTTCACTGTAAACCCGAATAAGTTGACTGAACTTAAAATTTTTGAGGTAATCAGTTTCCACAAAAGTTTTAAGTAGACAAACCATATGTTTTAAGTATGGTTGTACTCAAAATTTGTATTTATTGTTAACTTAAAATTTTCAGATAATATTCTATATTTAAATAATTAAGATAAACTTAAAACTTATATATTTTAATTTTAACATTTTTGTGTTACTTGTAGTTAAATTATTTGATGCAACAGAATGTAATTATATTACAACCTAAACTCAAGTAATATGATTATCAACTAATTAAATTACCTTTCTTTTTTAATTGTGTGTGGACCACTCAAAAAAAGTATATGGCGATTCACTTAACATTTTGTTTATTAACATTTTTATGGACTTGTGAAAAACATCACATAAATTTTTTTTTATAAAACCATCAACATGGAACCACTGACATGGACTGGAGCACAAGTGAGCGTACAAAATGCTGCTAATAACATTTAATAACATTTTTATAAAATCATAAAAGAACATCAGTCCTAAAAGTCATCTTTCTTCTAATATATAAAAATGAAAAACAAAAGGTCAAACACAAAAGAGATTTTTTAAATAAACAAAAATTAAATAAAATAAATATTTTTTTAACAGGTTCAAATAATGTTTATCGGCACCCAAATAACCTTGGATAAAAAAAAATGAGGTAAACTGATGGGAATTACATCCACCCAAAGCCTGTAGAAAACTTAAAAGTGCTTTAAATAAAATACTTCAAAGAAGGTGCTCAGTAACAGTGTGCCTGTCCTAACAACCAGTTGCCTTGCATATCTTTCATAACTACTCACTCTGTAACAAATCATTTCTAAGAGCATGAAGGCTGGGTTTCAGTGGTTTGCCATCATCAAGCCCCATGAAGACTTTCTGGACAAAGGTGAATGTGTGAACTAGTTTCCTGGGGTAGTCCAAATGCAGAGCATAGATCAAGCCAAACAATAAGGCATATGCATCAGCAAATCTGGCAATATCACGGATCACCAAGTCGCCTTCCACCACAACAGCCATGCTTGAAGGACTGAAATGGACTGGACTGGTCTCAGCAGAGCCGTCAGCAACCACTGTGAGAAGGGCAACTGGAGTGTCAGTCAGGTTCGTCTCATCCAGCGTGCCCGCCTGGAATAAACACAGTATCAATAAGTAAGGTTGACTTGAAGGGCCGTGACAAGCATTATTTGTAATCTAGCAAAATATTCTGCAGTCTTGTGGGTAACACGTTAGTGACACATCAAGAGTCCTCTATTTACTATTCTTTTAGAAAATGTGTAAATTAATTAATTAGATTTGTGTGTTTATAGCAACTAGGGTTGGGTATCGAGCGGGAGACGAAGGCGGGCAAAACAGGAAAGGAATCTAGTAGCGGACGGACATTGTTCCGGGTCTTCGGTAATTGGCGGAGATGTTAGTGAAGGCGGAGAAGAGGGTGAACTAGAGGAAAAACAGGCAGATTCCTCCTCTATTTACAAACTCCTGGGGATGCAACAAGTGGGCATGGTGCGTCGACTACTGGATCTGACGTCAACGAATTTTTAGAATCAAGCCGTCGACGTCATCAACGCTTTGCTACAAATCTACCAATAGGTGTGGTTTTGTTGGTGCGTTAACGCAAAACTGCAGTAAAACATAAGTCGGAGAAACAGGATGCCAACTCATCACATGAAAAGAGAACATCAAAAAGAATGTGAGAAAGAAACAAAACGAAGACACAGGAGAGCAACAAAACAGGAAGCAGAAAGTTTGTGCCCCTGCCCCGCGAAATAGGAAAATGAGCGCCGACCAGAATTAACGAGTAGCGTTTAGACTACCGCGTTCTTGCTTCAAATTTAAGGAAGTACCTGGCTGATGCAGAGTTGATGAACTTTTCATGGACAAGTGTTTAAAATATAAATATATGAAAACACATCATGACATGAGAATAATACTTGTAAAACAACGTGTTTTAGCTCTGCTTGTCAGCTACAGAAGAACATTTATAAACATAAGACGTACAGTCGCCATCTTAAAAAAACGGGGCGACGGAATTCTGGTGTAATATGCATGTTCACTACAGTGGACGGTACCGCGGTATGCGTGCGTCTTCCATGGTGAAATATCCATCAGAAGAACGCATCACATTTGTCCCTGTCCTCGTCATGAATTAAATAAACGTTAATTTTACCAGGTAAAAACACATTCGCTGTAAACCTGAGGGTTGCTAGTCCGTTTGATTGATAGCTGTAGTTCATCTCCGTCCTCAGTCTCAATCAACGTTATTTGAAAAAAAAATAAAGAAATGAGTTGACTTTACATCCTTCTGTTAGTGCAGCTGGCCACGTAGCAAGTTGTTACCATTTTACTGTGAAACCAAGTAAATAAAAGCGATAAAGGGCTACAACGGGCTTGTTTTGACTAGCTTCACCGGAATTTTGACGTGTGTAAACGGTCTTTTTGCCGACCATCATGGAGAAAGGGGCAGTCTCGTGCAAAGGGTCAATAGCGAAATCAGGGTTTCTGTGTGTGCGCAATCTATTTGGGTTTGCCTCCTCCCACCCCCACTTGTGACACACACACCCTAATTTGAGCCCAGGTTTGATCCCCCCAACACACAAGTCTAATGCAATGTTTGTTAAAGCAATTGTGAAGCTGCTTTGTAATAAAACCATATAAAATAATCCATGGTATGTTATCTCACTGGTAGAATTTAAGTAATGCAAGAGACACTTACATCACATGTCTTAAAGAATTCTGGGTCTTCCTCCCGCAGGTATACTGGAAGGGCACGTAGCACTGCAGTCCGTTTCACATCGACATCAGGTGCTTCCTATAAAGGGAAAAGAAAATAAGAGTTAATTTAACACTAAGTTTACAGGTGTCATTGCCTGGGGATAATACATGTTTATGACACATTAGGCTCTGCATAATTTTGGAGACATTTCTTTTGAGACACAACCTGTCTCTCATGACAAAGAGCTTGTTTCTTACTCATTTGACAAAAATCCTAAACATTTTTTTTTCAGGGTTATCTAGACTAACACTTTTGTTTTTGCTCCCATTTTTTAGGCCTGTTGGATATACTGCCAAGTTCTCTGAAACGCCTTTAAAGACGGCTTATGGTAGAGAGATGAACATTCCTTTCATGGGCAACAGCTCTGGTAGACATTCCTGCAGTCAGCATGCCAATTGCACGCTCCCTCAAAGGTTACAACATCTGTGGCATTGTGCTGTTTGATCAAACTGCACATTATAGGGTGGCCTTTTATTGTGGGCAGTCTAAGGCACACCTGTACATTATTCATGCTGTCTAATCAGCCCCCTGATATGCCACACCTGTGAGGTGGGATGGTTTATCTTGGTAAAGGATAAGTGCTCACTAACACACATGTAGACAGATTTCAGAACAGTATTTGAAAGTCATGGGTGTTATGTGAATGTGGACAAAGTTTCAGATGTTTGAGTTCAGCTCATGAATAATGGGAGCAAAAACAAAAGTGTTGCATTTATATTTGTCTTTGGTGTATATAGAAAACAGATGTTCCCAGCAATTAACAGTAGCCCATAGGCAGTCTAAAAACAAGCAAAATTGAGTGATTAACATAGAAACTTTTTAAATTTGTGGTAGCAATTTTATCTTTATCAATATTCACCTGATGATCATAATGATTCAGAATGTTTCGCAGAGCCTCCGATATCTTGCCAGTGCATGTGGCCTTCTGTCTGTATAGAGCCATAAGTCGTGGTGTGTGTCTGTCAAGTTCAGCATAGAACTGTTTCTGCAGGTTGATGTTTGTGACTCGGTGGAACTCCGCACAAACCTAAAAATACAGGAACATGAAAACATCCAATATAAAGCAAAATTACTGGCCAAATTGAGAAATCTTATATTTAAAGAGGGATTTCCAAATTTGTGCCCAGTTTTATCTTAATGCTGTCATTTTAACATTTGTTTTTCAATTTGAACTTAACCTTTCCAACACAATTGTATCACAAATCTGAAATAAATTTTTTGGCATCATGAGCCTAATGAATGTAAGAAAACTTCTCTTTAATTCAAGAGAACATCAGTTCCTACATTATAGACTCAGCAAGTTTTATCTGTGGTTGCCTGTCTACTTAAAGCCGGGCGTACACTGTGCGACTTTTTCACTTTTTTGAGCTGATTTTCCACTCGTGCGACAATCCACAAGATCGGGGCGAGTTTTGCGCCGAGTGTCGTGTAGTATACAGGGGGTTACGAGAGGCAATTAACACCACATGACCAGCTATCGAGAGCTCGCACAAACTTCTGGCGTGTTTAATATTTTGCTCGTCCTTCGTGAGGGTATCGCACTGTTGAAGCGGCGCTGCGAGCAGCTGCGACGCAAAAAGTATCAGAACCGCTCACGGCGCATACGCAATCCTGCATCAACACCGCTCGCCCGCTATTTCCCTAATAACACACTTTGTTCGTTTTAATTTCTACACGTTTTTTACTCACAAAGACTGTCAAGAAAGCGTGTTTGTCGTGTTCATGTCAAATTAAACTGATCACAAAACACAGATTTACTTTCTTTATTTCATTTTACTCATCCAGCCCCCATAAATCCCTGTGTGTCCTGCAGCACTCCCGAAGGACAACAGGCAAAACAAGACAAAAAAGTCTCACGTGTTGAGTAAAAACTGCTATTTTTAGCATATTTTAGGGCCGACGTGTTGCTACCAGACGTACAGTGTGAGCAGTCAGATCGCATCCAAGAACTGGGTCGTGCAGTGTGAGCACATGACTCGTGAGATCTGCCCTGCGAGGAAGTCGTACAGTTTGAGCTGAAGCTGAGTGCTACGAGTGAAAAAGTGGCACAGTGTACGCCCGGCTTAACTCATTCACTGTCATTGATGACTAAAGTCGTCATTTTAGATCCCACCGTTCACTGCCAATGAAGACTTAAGTCGCCATTTGAATGTTTTTACTGTGTGGGCATTGGAATGAGCCCCCGCATCGTGACTGAACCTCTCACCTCTAAAGCCGATCTTCATCCGCATATATCACACATGACGTGATCAGGAAGTAGAAAATCCATGTGTTAGATCGTTTTGGGTGGCTGCCTTAAAAAAAAGTGAGGTGCGAACCGGAAAAGCTTCTGCCGATCACAATTCAACAACGGATTATGAAAGAACGGATAATGCTCGAAATGCGCAGATTCTTCATGATTTAAGGTGAGTCTCCACTTTGTTTTGGTTGTTCTGGCGTCAACATCCTAGCACACAACGTTCTGTGACTCTTAAAAAAAACTATAAAATTGGTGAGAAACACTGGCAGCGAAAGGGATTTACCGATCAGGAAACGGCTGGCAGCGAATGAGTTAATGTTGAAGCACCACAACTAATAGGGTGCTTAGTTGTAGCGCTTTAAGATATTTTTTCTACCTATTTGAACAATGTTTATAAGAAGTACTTTGTTTAACATGTTAAATAAATAAATCTGAATCTGAAGATCTGCTGAACTTGCATTGTTTCAAGTTAAATTGAATAAGAAAAAAAATCTGTGCAACACCAACCTGTGAGTGAAATCGCAGAGCTGGCCATTTCTCTAAGAAGTCCTTCACCATTGGGTTTTCTTGAACGATCTCATGGCGACGCAGTGCAAAGGTTGTTTGCATCAGTTTTTCAATCATTACTTTGTTGGGCTCGGTCTTCTCAACCTCATTTTTTATCTGGACTCTCAATTCCTCCAGACTGGCCTTATCTTCTCCTCTTGGAAAGTTTGGGAGGTAGTTTACCTCAGCTTTTCGTGCTCTTTTTATGTTGGAGTGGGGATACTCTCCTTCTGGGTTGTTGATACTCCTTCTACCAGCATTCACGGACACCTCCGCGCATCCGGCTCTGGCTAGCTTGGTGCGGTAATTTCCCATCTTAAATTTTAAACTGGTCTTCCAACCATAACTTCCAGGCTCATTAAGACATGGATGAGTGGTAACAAGAGCTTTTGCTGCCAAACACACATCTCTGTCACTCGGATAGGCTTTGAAGGTGTGCATCACTGAAGCCATGGTCTCCAAGATGTTGTGCTTTTGGGCTCGTGTCAATTTCAGTTGCTTTCCAGACATCTCGTAGGCTTTATTTCCCTTCTCAAGGACATGTTCGACTTCGTAAGAAAAGGTAGGTACTGGGAAATGTCACGGTCTGGGGGTGTCATCTTTCTCTGATTTACTTTTTGAGCTTCCTTTCCTCTGCAGGTGGGCGTGTCCGGTTGTGGGGAAGTTGCTAGCAGCTGCAAGCAATCCACTCATCACCTGCCAGGGGATATTTAAGCACCTGAGAGGCGGCTTCACTTTGCTGGATGATTAACTCTACTTGGGTACTCAACTAACAGCCGAACAACTTGTATCTCCTAGTGATTTGACTTTTATCTGGATTTTGAGCTCTTCATGATTTTTGACCACTTGTCTTCCTACCTTTTCACCCAGACATCCTGTTACAATAACTACCTGGTCAACCTGCCATTCGCCTCTCAGCGTCCTCCCATGGTCTCCCCCACGCCGGCTCCCCACCTTCCTCCTGGATCTCCTGCTCAATAATTGCTCAGCTCCCTCCTCGCCTGGACTCTCAGCTTCCTCTAACTCAGTAAGCCATCTGCTTCACCCCCAGACCAGACAACCAACCTCTCCCGAACATTCTAACTGAACCTTCAGACCATAAGTCTTAACTGATCCATTATTCCCATTTTTCTGCAACCAGTCCTGACATTTTTTCGTCCTTCAGACTCCCCCCACCGGATCCCAGCAGTCCAGCCTGACATTTTGTTCCTGCCATTTCTCCTTTATAATAAATCATTATTTAACTCTAATTCTGACTTGTGGATTGATTCTGTATGTCGTGGGTTAGGCATATACCACCGACCATGACAGAATCATCCAGCCAACAACCTAACCTCAGTACAGAATCTGTTGCTGAAACTTTGTCACAACACAGTTTGACCCTGCAATCCCTGTCTGAACAACTATTCAGTACTAACCAAGCTCTGTCTCAATTAGGCGCTATGATGAAACAACTAAACGATCAACTCACCCGCCCGGAACCCTCTGTTCCCGTAGCTCCGACCCCGCCCGGACCCACTTCACCGGTACCATCCGGCCCATCCAACTTCCGGGTCGCCTTGTCTCCTCCACCGGAGACATTCGACGGAGATCGGAGCTCATGTAGAGGCTTTCTCCTCCAATGCAGCTTGGCGTTCCAACGCTCCCCGGAGTCTTTTGTTACAGACACAGCTAAGATATCTTACATAGTGGGGTTGCTGCGCGGCAGGGCTCTCAGATGGGCGGAAGCCAGGAGCCGTTCCCCGACCTTTCTCACAGGTATGTTTTCTGAGTTCATTTCCGAGTTCAACCTGACGTTTGATAAATCTGAGCCCGCTTCTGAGATAGCCAAACGGCTTTGGAGCCTCCGCCAAGGGAGGCAACATGTGTCTGACTTTGCCATTGAGTTCAGGACCCTGGCCTCCGCATCCACCCTTGATGAGGAGTCCTTAAAGGGAGCGTTCTCACAGGCCCTAAACGAGCGCCTCCAGGACCAACTGGCGTACTGCCAGGAGCCAGAGACTCTAGAGGCTCTTATAGCACTCTGCAACCGGATTGAGAGGAGGTTAAACGACCGGCATAGAGGTAACCACTCATACCTTACCCCATCTCCACACACTCAGCTCCGGGTTGCTCAGCCGGCACCGCCCTCACCACCCAGCGAACCCATGCAGTTGGGTCGGGCAAAACTAACCCCAGAAGAACGCAATCAGAGGATGAGGTCTGGTCTTTGTTTATATTGCGGCCTAGCCGGCCATTTTGTCTCTACCTGCTCCAAGGCTTTAAACTCCAGGGCCCACCAGTAGGACCTAGAATTCTGGTGAGCGGCTCATCTGATCTAGCTATTTCCCGTTGTGCCCTAGACTGTTCCTTAACATACGAGCACTCCTCCATAGCCACTCAGGCGTTGTTAGATTCTGGGTGTGAGCAAAACCTACTTGACCCTAAGATCATAAAACAGCTCAGCATCTCCATCATCCCTCTCGAGGTTCCAACCAGGGTGGTCTCTCTGGACGGTAGCCATCTTACTTCTATAACCCACATGACGGTCCCTGTTCGTCTCTCTGTTTCTGGAAATCACCATGAGTCTTTAACCTTTTTTGTTTTTCCCTGCCATCAGTCACCCATCGTCCTGGGGCATCCGTGGTTAAGGCTCCACAACCCCCGCGTAAACTGGGTTTCTAACGTAGTGGAGGAGTGGAGTGATCAATGCCATGTCACCTGTTTGGGCTCAGCTAGAACCCGTCCCATCCTCAAGGCTCCAGCTCTCCCACCACCGGACCTCACCGGCGTTCCAGAGGAGTATCATGACCTTCAGCAGGTATTCTCTAAAGATAAGGCTTGCTCTCTACCACCCCACAGGAGTTTTGATTGTGCAATTGACCTGTTTCCTGGAGCTCCTCTCCCGTCTAGTCGACTGTACAACATCTCCAAACCTGAACGACAATGCATGGAGAAATACATATCTGAGTCACTCGCTGCTGGAATCATTCGACCATCCACGTCTCCCCTTGGAGCTGGGTTTTTCTTCGTCTCCAAGAAGGATGGGACCCTTCGGCCCTGTATCGACTACCGGGAGCTTAATAAGATCACAGTAAGAAATAAATATCCATTGCCCTTGTTGTCCTCAACATTTGAACCCATACAGGACACCTCTGTTTACACCAAACTCGACATGAGGAACGAATACCACCTCGTCCGTATAAAGGAGGGTGATGAATGGAAGACGGCGTTCAAGACACCGATAGGACATTTCGAGTACCTTGTGATGCCGTTTGGGCTCACCAACGCCCCGGCCGTTTTCCAGACACTGGTGAACACAGTTTTGGCTGATTTTGTAAATAAGTTTGTCACGATTTACCTTGATGATATTCTGATCTTTTCGAGGACCCCGGAGGAGCATTCCAGACATGTTCGAGCTGTGCTCCACCGCCTGCGGGAGAACCGCCTCTACGTCAAGGCGGAGAAATGTGAATTTCACGCCCCCACTGTAAAGTTTTTGGGTTTTGTCCTGGAGAGTGGGAGACTGGGGCCTGATCCTGAAAAGGTCCAGGCGGTCCGGGACTGGCCCACCCCTGCCACACGTAAAGAGCTGCAACGCTTCTTGGGGTTTGCCAATTTTTATAGATGTTTTATTAAAGGATTCAGCCAGATGGCCGCACCCCTGACACAGTTGACATCTATAAAGAAACCTTTTGTTTGGGACTCCACTGCCGAGAGGACGTTTGCGGCTCTCAAGGACAGATTTACCCGAGCACCAGTCCTCACCAGACCAGACCCCTCTCAACAGTTCACCCTCGAGGTGGACGCATCTGATGCTGGTGTGGGGGCCGTGTTGTCCCAGGTTTCTCCCTCTGACCACCGTCTCCACCCCTGTGCCTTTTTCTCCCGACGTCTATCCCCAGCCGAGAGGAATTATGATGTGGGAGACCGGGAGCTCCTGGCCATCAAACTCGCCCTGGAGGAGTGGAGGCACTGGTTGGAGGGAGCTGAGCACCCCATTATCATATGGACTGACCACAAGAAACTCTCCTATCTGAAGGAGGCAAAGAGGCTAAACCCCAGGCAGTCCAGATGGTCTATGTTTTTCTCACGTTTCCATTTCATCCTCTCTTACAGACCCGGAACCAAGAACGTAAAACCCGACGCCCTCTCTCGACAGTTTTCAGCTGACTCTAACTCCGAACCCGCCACCATTCTCCCTCCTGACTGTGTAGTTGGCTCTATAACTTGGGAGATCCGAGATCAGGTACTCGAGGCGCTCAAGACCACTCCTGGTCCAGTCAAGGTACCCCTCAACACTCTTTTCGTTCCTCCGTCTGTTAGACACAAGGTCATCCACTGGGGTCATACTGCCAAATTCTCGATCCATCCAGGGGTTAGTCGCACAGTAGCCCTTATCAGACGTTTTTTTTGGTGGCCCACTATGTTTAAAGACACAAAGGAATACATAGCCGCTTGCCACGTCTGTGCCCGTAGTAAAGCCAGTAATCAGCCTCCCCCCGGTTTGCTTAACCCATTACCCATCCCTTCCAGGCCATGGTCCCACATCGCTTTGGATTTTGTAACAGGCCTGCCATCCTCCCGAGGCTTCTCTGTTATCATGACAGTCGTGGACCGGTTCTCTAAGGCTTGTCACCTCGTCCCCTTAAAGGCTCTCCCCTCAGCTTGCGAAACTGCCACTCTGCTCACCAGACATGTTTTCAGGCTGCATGGAATCCCTTTTGAGATCCTTTCGGATCGAGGTCCCCAGTTTGTCTCCAGAGTCTGGAGGGACTTCGCCACCTGCCTCGGGGCCAAGGTCGCCCTCACCTCCGGGTACCACCCCCAGTCCAATGGTCAATGCGAAAGGATGAACCAGGAACTGGGGGCCATGCTTCGTTGCCTTTGTTCGTCCAACCCCTCCCACTGGAGTGTTGAATTACCCTGGGTCGAGTATGCCCACAACTCTCACATCTCATCCTCCACCGGTTTGTCACCTTTCGAAGTTTCACACGGTTTTCAACCCTGCTTGTTCCCTTCCGAGTTTCCCTCCTCTGTAGTCTCCGTCCCCCAGTTCCTGAGGCGCGCCAAGCGCATGTGGTCAGCTGCGCAGAAGGCTCTGCAGAGGACTGCCGCCCGCAACCAGCGCCTGGCTGATCGACACCGTAGGCGGGCCCCAGACTATGCGCCTGGTCAGCGCGTCTGGCTGTCAACCCGTGACATCCCTCTCAGGGATCATTGTAGGAAGTTGTCTCCCCGGTACATCGGCCCCTTCATTGTCTCCTCCGTTATCAACCCCTCTTCCGTTCGCCTGGAGCTGCCCTCTCATATGAAGGTTCACCCCGTTTTCCACGTTTCCCTCCTTAAACCTGTCTCCTCCAGTCCTCTCTGTCCTCCTCCTCCGGATCCGCCTCCTCCTGTTCAGTTGGCTGATGGGGGTCTCGGTTTCCGGGTTCGGCGTCTCCTGGACGTTCGGCGCCGTGGCCGTGGTCGCCAATACCTGGTGGAATGGGAGGGCTACGGGCCCGAACACAGGCAATGGGTGCCTGGGTCTTGAATTGTGGACCCCTCGCTCGTCCGGGATTTCGAGGCGGCCCGGGCTGCCTCCTCCGCCTCCTCTGTCTGGACGCCGGGTGGCGTCCCTTGAGGGGGGGGTACTGTCACGGTCTGGGGGTGTCATCTTTCTCTGATTTACTTTTTGAGCTTCCTTTCCTCTGCAGGTGGGCGTGTCCGGTTGTGGGGAAGTTGCTAGCAGCTGCAAGCAATCCACTCATCACCTGCCAGGGGATATTTAAGCACCTGAGAGGCGGCTTCACTTTGCTGGATGATTAACTCTACTTGGGTACTCAACTAACAGCCGAACAACTTGTATCTCCTAGTGATTTGACTTTTATCTGGATTTTGAGCTCTTCATGATTTTTGACCACTTGTCTTCCTACCTTTTCACCCAGACATCCTGTTACAATAACTACCTGGTCAACCTGCCATTCGCCTCTCAGCGTCCTCCCATGGTCTCCCCCACGCCGGCTCCCCACCTTCCTCCATGATCTCCTGCTCAATAATTGCTCAGCTCCCTCCTCGCCTGGACTCTCAGCTTCCTCTAACTCAGTAAGC